ACGTACTTTGTCTGCTTACACATATCATACTCATTTTGAAAGTGTTTTCAAAACACACAAAATATACTTTTCAAAATAAGGATCTCCAGGTTGGACATCAGAACTGTGAAGCACTAAGGCTTTGAAAAATATTTGTAAGAATGTAAGAAACATACAGAAACAGGCATTTTATAATGGATGTATTTGAACAAATCCTCTTCAGAAAAGGATAAGGCCTTACATATTATCCTCTTAAAAGGACATTTACACCAAAACGTACAGTAACTGGCGACAAGTGTCACGACTGCAGCCACTGAGAAACTTCTGCTTGGTGGTCAAAGTGCTCATCAATCAGAGGAACATGCCATGAGAAGCCAGAAACACACATTTTATGCAAGACCATCTCACTGATCACCACGCACTGTCACTGCTCAAATGCTGTTTAATAAACATACAGTGCAAGAGGCAGAGCTAGTGTTCCACAACTGTTCCAAATATTTAATGAGAACCTCAAATATCCATTTCAAAGCCTTGTGGTTAACTGAGTCTTTTCAGCAACGGCAACACTTCTGCACACTGACTTTATATCAAGTTAAGGCTACTCAAAAGCTCTTCTGCTCTGAACTCACACCAGCAAGCCTAAATCGAGCCTGCCATGAAACACAAGTTACGCATGAATAAGAACCACTGACATACACATAAAACCACACACAGCCACTCAGAAACTTCCTCCCATGAGCTTCTCTGCCTGTTGGCCATCAGAGAGCCTCCCCTCTCCTTCTCATATGCAAAACGAAGCCATGTCTGCAGAGCAAAACTGCTTATGTGAACTGAACCACATGCTCTGCATTCAGGAAGTTGCACCACTTGAGCATATCTGCACATCACCAAGCTTATTCAGACCTACAGTGCGTACAGCTCCACACGCACTGCACAGCTTTACGTTTCACCCAATTCACATCAGGACATTCATAAGTCAGATCTACCAGCTTGTCAAACTTGATGATTGGCTAACGATCACGAGTGTAACTACACGTTTTCGGGTTCAACATGATTTCCGGCTTTTAGGTCACAATTTGATTGTTTTTTGTGTTAAAAACGTCTGGATTCTACAGAGCTCTAACTATTCTGCAGAGACTAATTCAGCTCTGAAAAACAAATGAAACAAATCGATAAGAAAAGACTACTATGTCATGGAATGTTCTTGTGCACACAAGTGCAAATGAACTACAAACAATAGAAAACAGCTCTGAAATGCCTAGTTTTTGTTTAGTTTTCATCACTGTTAAGAGCAAATGAGGGATTCTTTGGAAGAAAATGTGGGTGTTTCTACAATACAGTTTAAAATTTTGATTTTTTTTAACTCCTCTATGAATTTTTACATTTTTTGATACTGCATTGAAAGTTCAGGAATGTGTGCAGTGTAGGTAAACTACGCTCTTAAAAAAAGATGGTTCTCCAAGGGTTCTTTAGTAAAAAAAATGGCTCTATTTAGAACTATGAACACTTAAAGAACCCTTTGCATGATTAAAGGATCATGAAAGTGTTTTTCAGACTGATGGAGAATGTGTTGTAGATGATTCTATATAGAACCTTTTTGAAAAGGTTCTATTGTTATAAGCTTGACACTGTTACAATAGAAGAATCCTTTTTATTTCTATATAGAACCATTTTCAAAAAGGTTTTACATAGAACCATCTACAACACATTCTCCATCAATGTGAAGAACGCATTCATGATGTTATGAACCATTTACTCATGCATAGGGTTCTTTGAGTGTTCATTGTTCTATATAGAAAAAAGGGTTCTACATAGCACCTAAAAGTGTTCTTCTACTGTTACAAGCTTGACATCATCACAATAGAAAAACCTTTATGGGTGCTATACAGAGCCCTTACCAAAAGGTTTCTATAAGAACCATATACAGCACATTCTCCATCAATCTGAAGAAAACCTTAATGATGTAAAGAACCATTTAATCATGCAAAGGTTTCTTTGAGTGTTCACTGTTCCATACAGAACCATTTTCTTTACTAAAGAACCCTTAAAGAACCATCTTTTTTAAGAGTGTACAACACTGGAGATGGAAAACAAGGAAATTCTAATTTCTGTTTATGAAAGGATGATTATGGACAAAGAGAAAAATAAAACATAGTCATATTCTGTATCTCCTGTTTAGGACTGGGCATCTTTGAAAACGTTTTGATACTGGTACCAATACTGATAATATATCTAGAGTAAAAATATTTTTTACATGCATTATTTCTGTACAATTCCTCATTGCAATCCTTTTTTTAACATTAATTCAGTTTATTTAGGTACCAAAATGGTTAATTTCACATTTCAATCCAAATTCAATTCAATTTCCAAATTTTTCCGACACTGGTAGTGAAGTCTATACCATAAAAATATATCAAATCTGTCTAGCAGAAGTAAACGTGACTGGACCTGTAGTATAATAATAAAGACGCTTCGCCACTCTTCAAAGAGGCAAAGCATTTTCAAGATGACTTTACAAGTCTGTTCACCTTGACTTTCTACCACTAGAGCAGTGGATATCAATCCTGGTCCAGTAGTATTAATGCACTGCCCACAGTTCAGCACTTTCCCTACTCTAACATTACAAGTTCAAATCAGGTAAGACTTGTTAATTAATTGATGGGTTGGTGGAGTGTAGCTGGACCAACACTAATATGGAAGACTCCAGGACCAAAGTTGGAAGCCTCTGCGTGAGCAGTGTGTTTACATGCAAAGATGTTTGCCAATCTGATCGAATACATTCCAATTACAGATTAGGACTGAGGTGTTTATGCTCACTCTACACAACAATCTGATGAAAAATCTTCGTGTACATGCTCACTACAAGTCATTCGATCCAAAATTACGTGCATGCATAGAGAACCACTTAGCATAGACATTACCACGTCAACGAGCATCACCAGTCAGTGGAAGATGAGCAACAGTGTCCTAGCTACCTGAGTTTTAGCTGCTGCTCGTGTTTTTAATTACTTTAAAATGATGTCAGACTCAGGAAAATGTACCTCACACGTACTTCTTAAAGAAGGCCGAGAGGAAGACGTCGTGTTCTGAGACACATAAGATGGACGTCCGTCCCACCGCCGTCTTTTAAAGATATAAAAGCATAAACTTCGTCTCCTCTGCAGACCAGTTTCTGCTCCGCCATGTTGAATATTATACATTTTTGCTATGATGTGAACACACATGCACAGAACACACACATGAACGTATTCTATTCCAATTGAGCTATTAGTCGGATTATTAACAGATTACCAGGCTGCATGTAAACTGCTTGGCTCCGGTCGCTGAGGGCAAAAATAAGAGCGGATTCTCTGCGACTGGACTGAAAATCACAAAACAAGACCTGGAGGACTGACAGCCTTCATATCATCGCTGAATCATGTATCTCTATTTTTGTTGATTTTCATTTTTCTGCATAATTTGAGCATGGTGACTGTCTTTTACCCTGTGTGAAAAATTGTAAGTACCCTAAAATGACCTCTTTACATTAACCTACATTTAAATTTAAGGAAGTTTTTGCCTTCTCCTGTTAAGTTACTATTTTGGAGATACACATTTTTCTTTGAACAGCGATTATATAATCCTCCTATCCAAAATATATGCGCAATATTTGTCACTATATATGCGCTGCCTTGGCACGTGGAGTTGATTGTTGATTCATACATCTTCTGATGCACTTGGACACATCATCAGTGAGGTAACCTGGAGTCACTGGGTGTTTTCAGGTCTTTCGACGTCAGAACACCAGGCTCAATCTGGCATGACACCAGTTCATTTGGCATTCATTCTCAAATGAAGTTCATTAATAGTGAGTTTGTCCCCCTTTGCTGCAGTAACAGCCTCTATTCTTCTGGGGAGGCTTTACAGTAAATGTTGGAACACTGATGTGGATTTGATTGAGCATTAGTGAGGTCAGGTACTGATGTTGGATGGTCAGTTCTGGATCACTCCAACTCATCCCAAAGGTATTGGATGGAGCTCCATCACTCCAGAGAGCACAGTTCCACTGCTCTAAAACCCAATGCTGGTGGGGGGCTTATACCCCTCTACCCATCTCATTTTATTGGTCAATGCTTTTTTGAGGAGACTACAAACTTTGTGAATCTGTATCAGCAACAAGAGCACCTTAAAGCAGCTGAATTCACTCATTATAAGGGCTGTACTTTTGCCCAAAATGGGTGTGATGTCTTATTATCATGATTCCAAATGAAAAAATACGTATATATATATAAAAACATATATATATATATATATATATATATATATGTATGTATGTGTGTGTGTGTGTGTGTACAGATACATGGATATGGGTGGAAACAATGGTCCATATTCACAAAGCTTCTCAGAGCAGGAGCGCTGGTCTACACTCTCGGTTCTTCAAGGGTTCTTTAGTAAAGACAGTGCCTCTATATACAACCATGAACACTCAAAGAACCACCTGAATTAATGGTTCTTCTAATTGTGTTGTGTTTTTTGAAAATAGTGCTGTATAGCACCAAAAAGTGTTCTGCCAGTGTTACAATGTCAAGCTACAACAGATGAACCTTTTTTTTGGTGCTATATAGAACCATTTTCAAAAAGGTTCAAAAGTGCAAGAACCTGGGCAGTGTAGGTAGAATACACTCATAAATAAAGGTGGTTCTTCAAGGGTTCATTAGTAAAGAAAAGGGTTCTATATAGAAAATTGTTAAAAGTTTGGCATCTTCACAATAGATTTGCCCTTCTGGGTGCTATAAAGAACCATTTTCACAAAGGTTCTCTACACAACCATGTACAACACATTCAAATGCAAATTTCAAAGCAAAGAATCATTTAAGCATGCAAATGGTGCTTTGAGTGTTTGAGTAGTGTCTTTACTAAAGAACCATTTTTAAGGATCAGATTCCAGTTATTTACTATAAATATACTGTAAAACAAGCAGATCCTAGATCCCCACGCGCACTCCGAGAAGCCTCATGAATATGGGCAGTCTTCTCGTTTACCTCGAACACGCGTGCAGTGAGCGCGCGCCGCAGCTCCGTCCACATCACGGTGCACATGAAGAACAGGGCGATCTCGACGGGGGAGAGGCGCGCGTGCTCGCGCAGGGCGCGCGCTGATGGTTCGAGCCCGCAGTCGGTGCACTCCCTCAGAGCGCCGAGCACGGCGCGGTACGAGCCGCTCAGCAGTTCCGTGTAGCCGGGCAGGGCCTCCACAGACGTGCCGCCCTCCTCAGCGACCCCGGTGGTCCCGTCCATAGCGTGCCAAAGCTGCGCTTATGTAGCTACGAAAGTCCTCCTCCCGGCAAAGGCTAACCCGGTTAGCTTAGCTACAGAAATAAAACAAACTTTAAGCTGCTTAACTTCAGCAACCCTCGTCTTCTAAATTAAGACATCGATTAAAAAAAGACTTGCTGCTCTTTTAACGTCAGGTTACACAACAGGCTTACAAAAATTGTATTCAGAAATAAACCTTAAGGCTATAAACAGTCGTCGATGGATGCGTTTAGAAAAACAACAGGGCGCTGAAACGAAAACGAGGCTGCGGTTTAAATTTTAACGGTTTTAACGGTCCAACGTAAGATAGCTGTATTTCCAATTAACCACAGCTAGATATCTAGCCACAATACCACAAAGTACATCTGATTCAATCCAGCATCCTTTGGATGCAAATAGACATCTCGACTGTCTTGAAACAGTAAAACAGCTAAAAGAGACCCAGTAGCAAAAAAAATGCTAACCTAGGTTAAGTAGCTTAACGCAGCTAAATGGCCCTTTTTTCACACATTTAAAGACGTTAGCGGCTGATTTAAAGCAACGGCGCAGCTGAAAAGACGTCGGATAACGTTAGCTGATCCTCTTCTTTCCGTTATTCGCCTTCATTTGTGAGGAAAGCTCTCCTACAGAGCCTGAATGCTGAGAAAATTCAGAAAGATGTAAGAAAGCCCGGCTGCTCCTCCTCGCCTGTGTGGTCGCCTTCCCGTCCACATTGTGATGGCTGGATGGAGAAAACGTGAGAGGAAGAAAAAAGCCGGTGTGTGCTGCTGATGATAGTCGCTGTAGTCCGCTCAGCGGGATGAAAAGACTGATTTAAAAGCCAAAAAGTTGAATAAGCAGGGTTTCTGCGGCGAAGCTGACTGAAATGACCGATAAACGTAACATGCTAATATGATGAAGTTAACGAACAAAAAAAGCCCCATAAACAGCGGCGTGACGTAGGTTAACTAGGGCCGGCGTTGTTCTATTTCCACCCGTATTCTGGCAATCCCCGCCATCCTCGGCTGTGATTGGCTAGTGCTACCTGAAAACAGGTGGAGAAAAGAATAGTGCGGGTTGCCAGATTGTTCCCAAATCACGGTTTAACCCTCATTATCTTTGGGGTCAATTTGCCCCCATTCAGTTTTCAGATTAACATAAAATTAATATGATGATATGTTTTGCTTGTATGCATTGGTGTTTTTTGGGGTTCGTTTGCCCCCATGCTGTTTTAGCTGTATAAAACATAAGAAATATCAACATTTTACACACATTTGTTTTGGTTGTTTTGGATGATATTGAGGTCACTATAACGTGCAATTTTATAATCTTGAAAAATCTTTTCTCCGCTTTATGGCCCTAACCTAGCATAATCACACCTGTAGTAGTGTGAGAACCACATATATTTCTCATGATATGGTGGTGGGGAGAATATAATTTCCATGAGAACTTATTTTTTTTCCCAGAGGTTTAAATTGCTGGGGTCAAACTGGCCCCAAAGATAAAAGATGTTAGTAAGTTTGAAGGTAACAGGAGGGTTAAAACTGCCTCACTAACAGAACAGCAACAGACTGACAATAAATACAAACAAACTGTACAATCACTGCAAGAAATTGTTCTCTAAATATACAGTAACTACAACTGTACAACCACTGAGCACAGGACTATAGAGAAAATAAGACCAGCTGTTGGTCCACAGCTGAATTAATAGCACTTATGCTATTTATCAATGCATTTATTTACCTAATTAGCAATAGTTTTAATAATGCAACCACAAAGATTAATAAAACTGCAGACACCCCTTAAATGCCCAGGGCCCACTGGCAGGCCCGAAATTTTATTACACACTTCTATAACCTAAGAATAGCTCAACCAGTTTGCACTGTAGTCCACATAATTACTGAATAATAAGCCTTAGTATGTAATGGGGGATTTTAACTGCTAATCCTTTTTTGTATAAAACATGAACTAATTTCCATCCTTACATTCAAAATAATGTCACTGGGTGGGTCAGGGCCCTCAAATGTTTAGAAAAAGTTGGTAGAAAACGTGGCCAATCTGGCACTCCGCTTCTCGGAGTGCGCGTGGTGATTTAGGATCAGCTTTTTTTACAGTATATTTATAGTAAATAACTGGAATCTGATTCTTAAAAATGGTTCTTAAAATAAAATATTGAATTTAATTTGTTGGGCAGGACCACATTATGTATTTGTCAATGGAGAAAAAAAATGCAATTACATTTTAGGAAACATAAACCCACATTTAAAATGAGCTGTAGTAATATGTCATGTAGACTATCGATATCAACATTTTACAGATTACCAGAAATATGTTGTATTTCTGTGATATTTCGATTATTCAGTTTACACCGTGTTTTATTCCGTATTACACCGCGGTTGCCAGCTGTCTTTTTTATGCTGTGGTGTGCTGGAGAGGAAGCATGAAAAAGAGAGGCAAGATGCGACTGGACAAGCTGGTCAGGCGAGCAGGGTCAGTGGTCGGTGTGGAACTGGACTCTGTGGTTAAGGTGGCCGAGAGAAGGACTCCGCATAAATTGCTCTCCATTATGGATGATGATGGCCACCCGCTGCACACCATCATCACGGATAAGAGGAGCATGTTTAGTGGCAGGTTTCTGTCACAGAGCTGCTCAACCAACAGACTCAGGAGATCCTTTGTTCCTAGAGCCATTAGGCTCTTCAACTCTTCCCAGTGGGGCCAGAAGAGGAGAGGGAAGAGGAGAGATGAGGACTGAGTCTCTCAGGCTAAATTACAGGTTTATTTTATCTATCTGCACATATGGACACCTTACTGTACATACTGCACTTCTGCACACCTTATCGCACATCTTGCACATCTGGACACTCCACACCTGGACACTTTATTTCAGTACCAATATCTGCACATATTTATTCAGTATTGTCATTATATGCTGTCACCTGCACCTACGTGAACAGTCATTATTGCACTGCCTTTTTATCATAGGAGAGATCTTATTGCAGATTTTTGTATATTTCTAGTTGTATATATGACTGTAGATGGGTTTTTGTATATATTCTTCCTTTTATATTGTATCACCCTTATTATTATAACTGTCCTGTTTTGTGTGACTGATACTGGCTGCTAAATTTCCTTCAGGATCAATAAAGTATCTATCTATCTATCTATCTATCTACCTATCTATAATCACATCAGTGCCAATGGTAAAACAAAATCAAACCAAACTTTTGGCCAACAGGAAAAATTCGCCTTGCTTTAAACACAGCAATTATATTTTGTGAAACATATTAAAAGTTTAAGAGTTTACGCTGTCAGTCCTTACAGTATGTGACAAACGTGAGTCTTATGGTTAAGAACATTGTTCTCAGGAATACCACTTGCTCTAAATGTTCTTACGAGAAAAGCTAAGAAAGAAACAAAGAAAATTCTTAATTTATGAAAAGAATAATAATGTATCTAAACCTTTTAAATGTAATTTTATCTAAACTGTTCCCATCGGTCCAAAATAACAGTTGGCAGCTGACTTACAAGTGTATTGTGCCACCTACAGGTGACATTGTGAATTAAACCTTAAAACAGAGTATGTACAGATGTCCGAAGTGTTCAAAGCCCTCATTGAAAACTATCACAGAAAATTCTTATGTATTTGTTGCATGATGCCTTTGAGACATTCATTTTGAGAAGATTTTGGCCCAAAACATACATTTTTAAAAACAGTACCAAGGAAAACTTCAATATCATCAACGTTCCATAAAAAACTCAGAAGACTCGTGTAGGTTCACTGGTGGTTTTGGATAGTAAATACAGTGGGGTGGGAAAGTTTGGGCAGCCTTGTTAATTTTCCTGATTTACCTTTATAAATCATTGATTGTTTGGATAAAAAAATTCCGTTAAATTTATCATATAGGGGACAAACACAGTGATACTTGAGAAGTGAAATGAAGTTTATATGAATTACAGAAAGTGTGCAATAATTGTCTAAACAAAATTAGGCAGGTGCATAAATTTGGGCACCAAAAAAAAAACCTTAACTCAATATTTAGTAGATCCTCCTTTTGCAGAAATAACAGCCTCTAAACGCTTCCTATAGCTTCTAATGAGAGTCTGGATTGTGGCTGAAGGTATTTTAGACCATTCTTCTTTACAAAACATCTCTAGTTCATTCAGGTTTGATGGTTTCCGAGCATGGACAGCTCTCTTTAAGTGACACCACAGATTTTCAATAATATTCAGGTCTGGGGACTGAGATGGCCATTCCAGAACGTTGTACTTGTTCCTCTGCATGAATACCTTAGTAGATTTTGAGCAGTGTTTAGGGTCGTTGTCTTGTTGGAAGATCCAGCCCCGGCGCAGCTTCAGCTTTGTCACTGATTCCTGGACATTGATCTCCAGAATCTGCTGATATTGATTGGAATCCATGCGTCCCTCAACTTTAACAAGATTCCCAGTCCCTGTACTGGCCACACAGCCCCACAGCATGATGGAACCACCACCAAATTTTACTGTAGGTAGCAGGTGTTCTTCTTGGAGTGCTGTGTTCTTTTTCCTCCATGCATAATGACCCTTATTAAGCCCAAATAACTCTATTTTAGTTTCATCAGTCCACAGCACCTTATTCCAAAATGAAGCTGGCTTGTCCAAATGTGCTTTAGCATACCTCAAGCGGCTCTGTTTGTGATGTGGGCGGAGAAAAGGCTTCCTCTGCATCACTCTCCCATACAGCATCTCCTTGTGTAAAGTGCGCCGAATAGTTGAACGATGCACAGTGACTCCATCAGCAGCAAGATCATGGTGTAGGTCTTTGGTGCTGGTCTGTGGGTTGACTCTGACTGTTCTCAACATCCTTCGCTTCTGTTTATTCGAGATTTTTCTTGGTCTGCCACTTCGAGCCTTGACTTGAACTGTGCCTGTGGTCTTCCATTTTCTCACAATGTTTCTCACAGTGGAGACTGAAAGCTGAAATCTCTGAGATAGCTTTCTGTATCCTTCCCCTAAACCATGACGGTGAACAATCTTTGTTTTCAGGTCATTTGAAAGTTGTTTTGAGACTCCCATGCTGTGACTCTTCAGAGAAGATGCAAAAAGGAGAAAAACTTACAATTGCCCCCCTTAAATACCCTTTCTCATAATTGGAGTCACCTGTGTATGGAGGTCAAGGGTCACTGAACTTACCAAACCAAATTTGAGTTCCAATAATTAGTTCTAAAGGTTTTGAAATCAATAAAATGACAACAGTGCCCAAATTTATGCACCTGCCTACTTTTGTTTAACCAATTATTGCACACTTTCTGTAAATCATATAAACTTCATTTCACTTCTCAAGTATCACTGTGTTTGTCCCCTATATGATATATTTAACGGAATTTTTTTTATCCAAACAATCAATGATTTATAAAGGTAAATCAGGAAAATTAACAAGGCTGCCCAAACTTTCCCACCCCACTGTAAAATGTCTATATTTGTGTTGTAGTCATGGCAACCCCTGGTTCCTATCACCACCACTGTAAAGACATCTCTACAATCAACTATTTCACACCAAACTACTCTGAATGACTCAACAAATTAACAGTGCAGAAATTTTGAAAGATGCAAATAGATATACTTCCATTTCAGCTCTCTCATACTTTACTCTAACTTATCCATCTATCTATAGATACTCCAAACTATCTATCTGTCTATCTATCTATCTATCTATCTATCTATCTATCTATCTATCTATCTCTTCTCCATCTGAGAGAATCACTGCACACTTTACTCTTTTCCTGTTTTAATACACTTTATTCACCTGATCAGCTCATGATTACATTTGTTCATAACTGGGTGCCAAACTTGGTTCCCGGAGGGCCACAGAATGTAGGATGCTAAATGCTAAACCATGCAGTGCTGTAGGTCTACAGGACTGGAGTCTGATCTCCGCTTCATCAGTTGAATCATGAAAAATACAAATCT